GGACGGCACCGCCCCTATACTTTTCTAACAATAGCAACAATAAAAAAAAATATAATAATTGTAATTGGGGGCGGCTGCATGTGGCACCGCCTCCTACACTTTTTATAACAAAATTCACAATTTAATATCATTGTATTTCTTAAAACTGAAATAAATCTATACATACCATCAGTCCTACCCAGGGCGGTTGTAGCCCGGGTGCCTCTTCCATGTCATCCATTAGTTTAACATATTTTTTATATTTTGTTTTCAATTCAACCCGTGGGCGGTGAGTGAACAAACAATTAAGACTAATACACAAATTTCACATAATATTGTCAAGTTTTTCTAATTTAGACTTTAGAATTTTATTTCCAAATATGTAGTCCTTTTATCAGTAATAGAGTCCTTTTATCAGTAATATACATTTTTTAAAATTTTATTTAATTTATAGGTACTTGGAAGTTTTATTATCTTGATAACATATTTGAGCATGACTAGTATTTATTTAGAGATAAATATTTACTTGTTAAGTTGATTATTAACTTATTAAGTAATGGGAGATTCTACGGTCCCATTACCGTATTCCGTCGGGATTTGTAACTGTTAGATCAACGGTTATAAAATTCCGACAGAATTGTTTTGTAATAGGATTGTAGCCTTAAGTAATATGTGAGACATAATTATATTTTTTTGCTCCTCAATTTTGTATTATTAGTTAGGAAAAATACATTCATTATATTATTGGTATAATATAAAATAAATTAAACTAAAAAAAAAGCCGAAATTTAGACATACATTGCAAGTATTTTGGGAGAGCCTAACAAACTCATTAAACTTATTAAGGTAAACGTGTAAAATTAACGTTAAAGAATGAAAATTGTGGTGGCCGTAGAAAAATTAAAAATATTCTTCATTTTCTTAAGTTATCCTTTCTCTCTCCTAATTTCTAGTTACCAATAATGAGTACTAATAGGGATAGATTAAAAGAAAATAATAAAAAAAAAAAATAAAAAAACGTGTCTAGACTAGAGTGCTTTCTGATTAATTTAGCTCTTATTTAGTGCTTAGCCGTTATAACTTATAATCATGTGTTAAGTTCATATTTAGTGATTAGTATAGTTGAGGTTGAAAAGTACCGTAACCCTTGACTGCTAATTTAGTTTTTTCAGTTGTACTCCAAACAAATGTGGCTAATTTAGTTTTAAAGACTTGTGTACGTAGTGTTTCAGTTATAGAGAGACAGGCATGCTTGCTGCAATCCCGTTACGGAATCATTCCGTCGAAGTTTATAACCGTTAGATCATCATGTAACAGTCATAGATAGTTGATTAACGGTTACAGATCCCTACGAATTGGTTCCGTAACGGGACCGTAGAATCTCCCTAGACCTTGACCGCTAAATATTTACATATATATTTTAGGGAAGGAGAAAAAAAAAAACAAAAAAAAATCCTCCAAACAAGAAACACGAACAGTACAGGAAAATTGATTTCCAAAAGAAGAGAAGCCCTGCCTGCATACATTCAATGTCTTTGTTTTTTACTTAACTAAAATGAAGAGGCATAAGCATAACAATGGAAGGGTATAAAGCACAGTTCAACACCTTCACCAACTACATATACGAGCCTAAGTGAAAACGAATATAGATTCGGATTACTTAACATTCATCTTCTTGCATTAGGATTCAAATGCCTCAAAAATCGGTCATTGCTTAAACCGTACACACGACAGGCCGCACATCAAAACTCTGAGCTCTAAGTCCACAGATATTCTTCACTTCGTCTTCCCTTCATAGCCTGACAGAAATGATATTACATTCTAGCACCAAAAATTAGATGAAAATAAATAAACAATATACTTACAAGAACACTTTTTTCTTTTTTTTTCTTTTTTTTTTTTATCTGCATCAACGTATGCCTCATTGATCAAGAGTGGAAGATTCTGCCAAAGAAGAAAGCATAGGGTCCGGCCACAATAATACTGTCAATATTCGAAATTAAATGGCATTTCATTATCAGAAATATTAGTGGATAAGAGAAAAGTATTCCGGATTAAAGAACCGGAGGATAATACGAACCTTTATTTACTGCCTTCAAAACTTTTAAACTAACTACAACAAATTGACATTTTCGTTAAAAACAAATTTTGAATACACGCAATCACTAGGTTTGATTCAAGAAGTCAAAGAGAACTCAATATCTGGTTTTCATGGGTTAATCAGACTAACCAGTTACTCCAATACACACAGCAATGATGAATGAATTAGGAATACAAACCAACATCAGGGCCAGGGGCAGGTGGCTGAACTTGTGGGACAACTGAACCAGAATGATTTGAACCTTCATTCTCAGTTTCTGTTATGTTCTCAATCTCACCATCTCCATCAACAACACGTTCTTCATTGGTCTCGACCATTTTTTCGTCCTCAGCAATGAGCAAATTCTCCACACCAGCATCGGAAGCATATGGCTGAACGTATGGGACAATTACACCATAATTAATCAAACCTTTGTTCTCGTTTTCAGCTATATTCTCAATCTCCGCAACTCTGGCAACAACAGGTTCTCCACTGGCCTCGGTGGTTTTATCACCCTCAGTAATATCAACTTCCACCTTCTGTGCATTACTCACGGCATTCTCTACAACTTGATCATTTTCTCTAATCCGGTTCATGTGATTCATCATATCTTTGTGCTGAGACATAACTTGACCACCTAGATACATGGATAGACTCTTAGGTGGTTCTTCTAGATGAATTAACTAATATTAATATAGTTTAATAATTGAACAAGCTGTGCTTTTCTTGGGAAAACCAATGCAGAAGTTTTTACCAGCCTTTTTGCCTCCAAGTGCGGCCACCTTCACCTTGTGTTTCCTCCCCTGAAGGTGACTGTCCAGATTTCGTTGGCCGGTGCAGTTGATGTTGCAAATGGAACAACTCCAATCCTCTTTAGGCTTTTTGTTCCAGATGCCACTTGACACTTGAGGTGGTGGTGGTGGTGACATAGACTTCCTCTTCAATCCCGTTATTTTCTCATCAAGCTTGCCCTGGAATAATAGAAACAATGTTCGATCAAGTTATAGCCGCCTTATAAAAAATGGAAACAAGAAAAAAAAATCCATCTCGAATTTCTCTTCGATGAATCACTTCAGTACGTTAAAGGTTAAATATTAGTGCACGCAGAAATTTATCAAGATATGATCCAGCTGCAAGTGCACAAGTTTTTTTTAGATTCAGCAGAATTAACAGGTAATAAACAAAAGAAGAACACCTACAAAACGTCAACATAACCCTTGGAAAGTTTTGGTTATAAGCTACACAAAATTGAAATTAGTAAAGAGTATTTCATAGAATGAGGTAGAAAGTTGGTATTTAGTCTTCTTGTTTCAGATGCATGGTAACAGTCTGTCCCCGTTGTTATCATTGCTAATAGTACGTACTTACAAGCATTACTATTATATGAATTTTACGAGTGTCACACGTGCGGGAGAATAAAAAGACATAGAATAAAGTTCAATCTTCAGAGTCATATGGCCATTTAACATATTTTTAGAATCTTCTGTTAAGTTAACAGGACAAAAGGGTAAACAGTTAAAATATTAAAACCAAACATTTCGAAAAGCCGACACATTGCCCAGCCCAGAAAACGCATAACAATGCATGGAGGAAGTTTCATTGTCATCTACGCAAAAGAATAAATGAAACAAATGGAAGACCACCAATAAGGTTGTAATAACATATTATGACCTGTCTTTCCACAGCATCAGCTGATAGTTCCTCCTCATTATATCAAAAGATCACCACAGCAACATCAGAAAAATGACTAAGAAACATTTTAATCGAGATTCTAACAGCACAATGTGGTGTATTATAAACCAAATAGAAATTGCATTGCTAAATTTTGTTTCGGGTGTTAATGCATCAGCAACTTTAGTACATAGGGATCTCTGATTGAAGCTCACTAAAAGTACATCATAGGAGTCCAAGAGGCACAAAAGTAAGCTCAGAGGAATGGCATCAAAACTGACCTTAACAGTCTGTTTCTCGTCAAGCCCACTGGGGACAGGCTTAATCTCTGAAGACACTCCCAAATCCGCATAACTTACAAACGGTAGTGTTTGAAATCTGGCATTATTATTATCTGCTTTGACTTCCTTCCCCTTAAGTCCAGACACATTGCCATCAGGCTTTCCCTACAACAATCAAAACAATATAAGGTGTTATTATACTTGCCGTGTTTAGTTTATGTGATAAAAGAACAAAGTATATCTTAGTTCTCGGGGCTCATTTTTTATCAACTTATAACAGTTATATTGTTCATGCAAGTAAGATAACCGAACAAATCATTTTGAGCATTTACTACATAAGATAGCCTGTTGTGGTTAAACCAAGCATTTTAAAATGCAGGACTTATATATCAACATAGACTATGGAGAGATTAATGAACACCATGCGACCTTATCCAAACAATGTAAATTGCATGATCTTAGTCAAAGCAACTGAAAACAGAAGTAATAAATACTTTTCCCAATCTTTTTAACATGTATTAAAAAGAAAAAAGATGTTGAGATTTTAAATGATATTAATGTCTCGTGACTAGAATTTAAATCAGTAAGTTTTCAAGAAAAATGCTATATATTGTAATTTATTTCATGGTAGAGATTAGTTGTTATGAATTGCAAAAATATAAAAAAAAAAAATAAATAAATAAAATAAAAAAAATAATAAAAATAAAATCAATTTTAGTCTTTTAGAGTACTCCATTTGGTCAGACATTTTTTCTATTAGACGTTTATCCTTTGTATTAAAATTCTTATGTGATGGGTTTTACCGTTAAGCGGGTCAACTTGCTATATTTTCTTGATAAAAATGCATAATTATGCTAAAAAATATCATATTTTTCTTTATGTTGTTTTCTTATAGTAAGTTATTTCGATTTTTAAGCATGCATATCTATCGAAAAAATATGGTCGCCTAACCGTAGGGTCTCCCGAACACCATCCTTACTATTTATTTATGTACCCTTATTATGTTCTTCATTTATGTTTTTTTCCCCTTTTAACTAAGTTAAGTAATAAGATTCCAAATATAGCACTCAATTATTTGCTGAGCAAACTTGGACAAGTCTCTGTAATTTGGCCTAAGTGTGTGTATAACAACTTAAATCACATCCCAAAAACATTATCTTTCTAATTCAATTTTCCAAAACATAATACCAAGAAAACAGAGGAGTATGATATTCATACTGACCAGAAGAATGAGTTTCTTTCCTTCACTGCCCTCTCTGCATACAGGCTTAACCTCCGGGATTCTCAAACCACCCGTCCTTCCATGAAAAGGCGACGTTTCAAACCCCACTCCCTCGTGCTTTTCCTTCTTGGCCTCGTCCATCAACACCCTGACTCTTTCATCCAAGAAAGACCCATTTCCACTTTCCCCCAAATCTGAAAGTCTCGTGGGCGGGACCAACTCAGTCGGCAGAGACGACCAAAACGAGAGAGGAAGACCACGGCCGCCCATAGCCTGGACCCACCTCAAGAGCTCACTCCTCACCTCAGCTTCGAGGACCCTCTTCCTCGCAATCTCGGAAACCATCATCTCCTCCCTGATTTTCTCCTTCTCCATCTCTATCAAAACTGCCCTGCGAAGATCTTGGGAGTTGGAGGTAAAGAGGGGATGATGCATTTGCTCTTTGTCTTGTTCCATAGCTGAAAATGTTTACGTAACACCATCAAGATTCGAACTTTTTCACCACATAATAAAGCCACTCTCAGAAACTAAACGAGAAAATTAAAATTAACAGCAGAAAAATAAACTGGAGTTTCTAAACATCATCAAAATCGCTCTGAATCGCAACTCACAACGTATTTCATTACTCGATGCATGGATATATGAAACAGAGAGAGAGAGAGAGACAGAGAGATTGAGAGAGAGACACAGAGAGAGAGAGAGATTGAGAGAGAGAGAGAGAGCTAGAAAACGAGGGATGCGTGACGAACCTTGCTGAATAAGCCTATCTGTGTAGATTCTTGAGAAATCTTGAGAGCACCGTACAAAAGCTTTACAGGAATTTAGGAATGGTTTTCTCTACAATTTCCGTTAGGGTTTCGCGAAACTGAAAATGGGCGGGAAGTTTCAGTGGGGAAGACGATGTATCTCGACCACGCGTGGAGTGTGTGTGTGTGTGTGTGTGTGTGTGTATGTGTGTGTGTTGCCTTGCTGTGGTATATTCCCAACGATTATAGAACAATTCAGGAAATATGTAAAAAATGATTTTCCATGTCTAAGAGACTATCATACACCAATACAGAATGTTGCCAGAATTCACCATAAATGCAAAATCTCTTTTTCTGACCATGTATGATTTTGTTTTGTTCAAAATTTCTGTTGCTAAAAGATGGTGGCATCAGGCATGGACGAAACTCTCTCCATGTTTGTGTTTATGCTAATAAATGATACTATGTTGTTTAGCACTTTCTTATGCTACGGGTCCCGTTACATCTCGTTCTGTCGGAATTTGTAACTATTAAATTAATTATATCTTCGACGGTTATATGATGATCTAACAGTTAAAAACTCCGACGAAATAGTTCAATACCGAGACCGTAACATCTCCCGTATAAAATATATGTACGAAGTATTTTTAGTTAATACTCCTATTAGCAGAAATTAATAGCAAGCAAATTGGATAAATAAATAAAATTATTTGTTCAGTCAAAATTTATCTTATTCTCGAGTGTAAATTTACACTCGGGTATTACCATATATGTTGGAATCTTTTTATTTTTGTGTTTTGTTATTACCCTGTTGGGGTCATTTTATTTTTGTGTTGGTAGTGTGCTGGTATTCTAGCGTTGCTAGCTGTTATTCTGTCTAGGTTGCATTGGTTGTGTGTGTAGCCTCTCATTTTTCCGGCTTCGGGGCTCGTCTGTGTTTCTTCGCCGTTTTGGCCTTTTTTATGAGTATGTTTATGCCGTTGAAAAAAAAAAATATCTTATTTAAATTGAATATCAAATAAAAACTTTTTGCAAAAAATACTATTTATTTCATACCATTTTATTACAACTCGGCCTATTAAATTTTTATTTACAAAGTGCAACAAAATTTCTGCTTCACTTGTTTACTTGACCTAAAAAGAAAATATATGATCAAACAAGTGTAGCTATGGCCATGACAGCCAAGCCAAGGATGCAAGAAAGGGAAAGCATAGGGAAAAATGTCTTTTTTTTTTTTTTTTGGTACAACATGGGAAATGTCTTTGGCAAAGCACAAAATTGTAATTTGAGCATTAATGCACCAAACAGTGGACAACTTAAATTATTTCGCCTTCATAATACATTCTTACACGATTCGAGTATTGGAGCAAGGGCACACCGGTCGGCGTTAGGTGAAACGCACTTCCTAAATAGGCGCGTGAATTCATTTTAATATTTTGTCCTAAGCACGCGCAGAGTAAACTAGACATGATATTCAGGATGTGTATGTTGATTTTGTACGTAATATGTTTCTTAACATGATGAATATGTTTTTTTTTTTTTGTAAAATGAACATGTCAACTTATAAGATGAACATGTTATGTTATAAGATGAATATATTTTATTATCAAATGAATATGTTAAATTACAAGATGAACACGTTTCTTTCTCATATGAACATGTTTATTATCATGATGAATATGTTGATTTTGTACGTAACATGTTTTCTTAACATGATGAATATGTTTCATTGTAAAATGAACATGTCAAATTATAAGATGAAGATGTTATGTTATAAGATAAATATTTTTATTATCAGTTGAATATATTAAATTATAAGATGAACAAGTTTCTTTCTCAGATAAATATGTTCTTAACACGATGAATATGCTGATTTTGTACAAGATGAATATGTTTCTTAACATGATCAAGCTGAGTAATATTTTAATTATTAAGACTGAACATATTTGAACTTTGTCATTCAATAATTAACTAAAAAATATCATGATATTTAATTCAATTTTTACCATAAAATAGGCGCGTGTACTTCAGGATAGAAAATATTTTCGGATTCCATTTTTATTAGCCTTGGCCCGCGCGTGAATTTCTGTTCTGGAACACAGTAGTGCTACTGACGAATACCTTCCGTTTAATCATTCGTTAATTGAATCTGAGATATTAAATTCTAAGAGTATCGTATTTAAAATTTAGGATCAAGATCTTACGGTTTGTGTTTATACTGACGGACTTTAAAGACGATTACATGATTTTTACGGACCGACTAACGAAATTGCCTCTCGACACTCCTGTGGCCGGACGTCGTGTTGCAAGCTTTTCCCTCTCGCTCGCACGACACTCTATTTCTTGAGGGGTGGGTTGTGTATTCTCTATGATATAACAAGAGAATGAAGTACCCATATGGTGTGTATAAGCTACAACATATAACTTAAGGAGGTTAGAATTAGCTCTTCTAAAATGAAAATGAAAACTTCGGTTATAGACCATCCTAATCTTATACTTAGTAATAATAAATTAGTCCTCCAAAAATTTATTACAATACTACCTGTCAAACTCAAATTACCCGGGCTCGACTGTACTCGATTTATCTCCTCATGCTTAATTAATTAACATATTTTTTTTTTGAAACTTGTACAATTAAACATTATTATTATGTTGGAACTTAATCCAGCTGTAAGATTGAACAATAATAATTTTTTGAGGTCATTTCGATTATGTAATCGCCCTGACGCAACATGATAGAGTGATTGAATATAATCAACAACACACCATCTCCCTATATATATTACCGAACATGCTAAGCTTAAGTGGCAGATTCGCATGCTTCGGGATCCTATGTGGCAAAATTTCATGATTAATTATTTGGCTTTGATATATTTTAATTTACTTCCAATCCAAAAATAATTAGGTTTAAATTATCCATAAATATGTTGATTATTTATAGTCATTTTACATGTATTAGTTGCATTTTAATATCATTTTCTATTATAACAATTGAATTGTAAATGTATTTTTAAAGTTAATTACTTTTGTAGTTTTTATAAGTTTTACATATGTAATATATCAAATTAATAATATTTTGAAGAGCTTCGATTTGACATGCATATTATATTTATGAAAAAGAAATTTATATTTATCTTTTTAATCATAATAAAATTATTTATTCATATTAATTAGAAAAATAAAATTATCTATTAGTTATTATATTTATATTTAATATAGTTATAAGGATATAAGTTAGAAAAAAATATTATAATATGACCAGGTAAATCTCAGAAGTAACAATTGTCATTCTAGAATATATAATTATATATATATGTATTGTATATATATATAATGTATAAGAATAATTGATTAATACTATTTAATTATATTGATAATACGTTAAATATTGAGATACTGATATAATGAAGTTGAGTCAAGGTTGAGTTAAATATTGAGATACTGATATAATGAAGTTGAGTCAATGTTGAGTTAAAAAAATAGTTAGGTTAAAAATGTTTGAATTTTGTCAAATTTCTTGTATCCAAGCAAGCACTAAGCATTTTCAAAAGTTCATAAATACCATATACCAGTTTCTATCCACAAGACCACAAGTCACTGCAAATCTACCTATTAACTACTGTAAAAAAAACAAGCACCAATTTATGTTCGTTCTCCAAAGGATACCAAAATTAAAATCTCCATGAAACTCAGTACACTTAACCAAAGGCAACTAAAACACTCAGCCAATTACCTAGACAAATAGCAAGTAAAACATCACTAAAACAAATCAATCATTTTTTTTCTGAAACACAAAAATTTAGAACATTTTTTTTTTTTTTCTGAAACACAAAAATTTAAAATCAAAGCAACACATTCTTCAACCCAGAACTCGGACGACTGGCCTCAATCCCCATTCCCACAAAAAGACACGCACGCGCGCACACACACACACACACTCCTCCCCTTGAGCTACACACACACACACCACAATCTCAGATGCGGCGTTTCTTGGGGCGACGGCAACCATTGTGCGGCTTACGGGTCGTGTCTTCGAGATAAACGACTGGGTTCACATCACTCCTCGAGTTCGAGTACCCGTCCCTAAAGCTCAGGATAGCATCCTTCTTCCTCCTGAAAAACGTGAACCCATTCACCTTCACGACCACTGACCTTGTTTTCATCTGCCTCACCCTCCGCCCTACATTCTCCGCGGCCGCTTCACCCGAGTAACGGCCCAGCTTGCCACCCTTGCCCGCCAGCTGTCCGGCCGTGACACCAAACTTCTTGTTTCCCTTGGAGTCCGTGACTGTCACGAAGGAGTTGTTTCGCATCAGTTTTATGTGGACAATGTCCGCATTAGCCTCCAACTGAGGCTGCTGGTAGAGCGGGGCCCGCCCGTTGAAGCTGTTCCCTCTCTCTTGGAGTTTGCCACGGAACGAGTCAGCACGAGGGGGCTGCTGTGGCAGGCGCCTCGGGTTCGAGTCATTACTCCGCCTCTCGTTGAGCAATCCCTTGACGTAATCCAAGGACCTCAAGGGAGTGGTTCTTCCTGCCACATCTTCGGCTGGTTTACCGAAGTGAATGGAACTCTTGAAATTTAGAGCATATGTTGAGGAGAGATTATTAGATATGCTGGGTGAGTCGAGTCTGGTGCCCATGGTTCCAAAAATCGAGGAACGGATAACACCTGCATTTTTTTTTTGGGGGGGGACGAGAAATTGTCAAGGTCCATGAGGTTTCACGAACAACGGAGCAGAATATAGAAAAAAAATTCCATTCTGCAGCCCTCTCAATTCCAAACAGGATCAAGATAAAGCAGTCAGTAAATGTTAGTATTTAATTATTTATTGAGAATTTTGTTGATAAACAAACTCTTTGAAGCACCACCTTTAATGCACCACTTCATCGAGTTGCTACGGTTGAACGAATTCAAGTTTTATTCTCATAGATTTCTAAACCACACACTGACATTTCCCAGCCGAATAATACATTAAATCTAATTACTTTTCATCTTTAGGACTTGAAATGGGGTATACTTCTAACATAAACCAAGCATCTGAGAATACAACATAAATGCATGTACATGCTATATGCACTACATCATACTCAAAAGGTACATAAACAAAGACAAACATTATCATATTCATATAATTAATGAACAAATTAAGATAGATGGTGATACATTTTAAAAGGGGACTGCTTTCAGCACATACATAAATCAGAAAAATGGATTGGAAAAGAAAATACAAATAAAAAATATACAAAAACCAACCGGAAAAGGCACGGGCATTCTGTGGAAACTCGGAAACCCCACTGATCGGAGTACCAAATCCAGATACAAGGACCCGAGGAGCTTGTCTGTGTAACTTAGCACATATCCCGGATCCAAGGATGGTTCTTTGGAACATTGTCTTCTTAGTATTTAGTTTCAGAGCAACGCAGAGAAGGCGATGATGAAGACTAATAGGCCTGAGTATCACAACAACAATATATAAACTAGATATATGAAAATTTTATAGATTATCATCAGTCATGGAGGCACAATACATAATTCTTTCGATTTAATCATCCTGCAAACATAAACGAAAAGCATTCAATCCAAGAATTCTCGTCTCAAACAAATTACACGAAACTAGACAAAATTCTATCACATTTTTTCACACTATCACCAAATGAACAGTTAAAATAATCAATGAGAGCCTCTCAAATTACAGTTCTACACCATTAAAAGCGAGGAAATTCGGATTTAGGGATTTGGGTAATTGGGGTTAGACGATTAGGAAGTAAGAACTTACTTACCCTCTTCGGAGATTCACCGGCTGCGCGTGCGACTGCCAACCGGCGATGAACTGTGTGGACTGAGGAATGGATGCGGTCGACGATTTTGGCTTTCTTCTCCACTTTTCAGTGTCTGTCTGTGTGTTTTCACCTTTTTTTTCCCCTTGGAAACCCGAGAGTTCATTACTTCTTCAGTATTTGGGCTTCTACATAACTTTGGGCCATCACTATTTGAAATTGACATGCTCCTTTGCAACCTTAGATTTTTATATATTTGAAAAAAATTTACCCAACTTTAATTCTATTTATTTTCGTGCGGTACACGGGACAATAATAATATATTATATAAATTAAAGTATTGAAATAGTGTTGGTTAGTGTAGATTTATTTTTTTAACGCTAATATTGTTATTTTTTTTTTCTTTTATTCCTATGTTATATAATATTTTAATAAATAATTTATATGTTGTTTTCACTTGTTAAAAAAGTAGCTATCATTTCAGATTTGTTGTTTAGAATTAATGAACATGAATATTTAGCATATTAAAAGGTTGTCAAGAAATAATGCTCAAAATATTCTCTCTTTTTCCTTACTTATACCTTATTAAAATATATTATTTCGATTCTTAAATAATAAGGGTAAAGTTGAAAATTTGTGGCAAAATATTATAAACCGATATTTAATTTAGAATTTATGTTTAAAGGTACAAAATCTACTAGCTTTTAATTAAATCAAAATTATTTTAATTTTTTTTTATAATTTACAATAACGTATATCATAAATATTTTAATTTTTTTTCTAGTGTAATAATTCATATGATAGTTCAACATCATCTGGATTTGTCATTATAATTTATAGTAATATATATTATAAATTTTGATTTTTTTTATAAGCTAACAATTTACATTGTTGTTTGACAGATGATTTGTTTGTTTATCATTATAATTTATATACAGTATAAATATTTTATTTTTTTAATATTTGATTATTCTTTCTTAACTTATAATTTACACGACAAGTTGATAGATGAACCAATGAGTTATTATAATTATAAAAATATATATTGTAAATATTTTGAATTATTAATCTACTAATTTACATTATTGTTAGACAAATGATTGATTAGTTTATCATTTGAATATCGTATGTACTTGATCCTCGAAATAATTGTTTGCTTATAGTTTTATGTTTTTTTAGCATTTTTTTACCTAAAATATATAAATATACCAATTAATATTTTATATTATTTAAACTAAATATATTTTACTGTACATATATTTATACTTTATCGTATGGATATCTTTAGACTAATATCTTATTTTTAAATCAATATTGAATAATAAATTTAACTTTACTTTTTATATGTATCATTAACAAATAAAATTAATATGACTTTGAATATAATTGTCCAATGAAATAATTACTAATCTCAAGTTATTTATATCACATCACTAGAAATAAAAATTAAATAAAATAGATTAGGTAGAAAAAAATAATTCATTGAAAAAATATGAAATGTTTAATTATTAGATTTAGATCAACTACTGACATAAAATTACCTAAAACAAAATAAAATTCTCACAATGGATGGTAAAGAAAAATTTACCAAATGAAAATAGAAAAAAAAATAAAAAATATGATTTAATTTTTTTTAACAAGTAACTATAATTTTTTGGTCAGAAACTACTATTTTTTACAGCATAGACTAGTACGTAAATCATGCGATGCATGAGACAATAATGATGAATTGCATAAGTTAAAAAAATGACGAGATAGTGATTAGTATACAAATAGGTTTGAACAGTGATTTTAATTTGTTTTGTTTTATATTTATTTATGATATATAATAGTTTAATATACAATTTATATATATTTTTACCCGTTTAAAATAACTTTCATATGAGAGTTCATGTTTAGAATTAAGGAACATGAAAAATTATATATATATATATATATATATATATTCAAACATTATTAATAGGTACGCACGAAAAATACTTATGTCTATCTTATATTACTTATACCTTCTTACAATATAATATTTTTATTCCTACAAAAATTTGTGGCAAATATTATAAACCGAAAATTGATTTGAAAATAATGTAGTGTATGCTATTCTATAAGTTACAAGATCTATTAAGTTTTATTCATGTCAAAATTATAATTTTATACATTATATTTAGACTAATAATTTACATCGTTATTCGGTGGATGACTTATCGGTTTATCATTATAATTTTTGATAATATACATTATAAATATTTTTTCCCTCTAAGATAATTTACATGTTCGACGGATGATCTATTGGGTTGTCATCATAATTTGTAACAATAAATTTTAAAATATTTCAATTTTATTTCTAAACTTATAATTTGAATGACAAATGAATAGGTGACTCATGGTTTATATAACTTATAACAATACATGTTTTAAGTATTTTAATTCTTTATAATCTAATAATTTACGGGGTGCTTCGACAAATGACCTATTTGTTTGCGCCTACAACAAAAAAAATAAAATAAAACCTTTCATACTTCTAGAAGACGTCATGTAGTTGTCACACAACCCAAACACATACGTTATTCCTCGGATTAAAAGACAAAATGAGACTAATAGATAAAAAACTCTCATACCTGTAACTTTGATCAAACCATAACATTATGCATATCTGGCATAGAGGCGAGACTCGTCACTCGTGCCCAAATTTGAGTTCCCAAAGCCCCTACACGGGGGAGAGAGCCAAATAAGCCTCAATTGTCACCAGCAGAAGCCTCAGCCACCAGCCCCAACAATGGCTGAATAGATGGACGACGTGGAGAGAGCCGCCGCCATCCAACCCCCAATCCATGGCAGCATGTGGGGAAATAAAGAAAACCTCTGACCCCAGCCCAACCATGGCCATAATAGAGGTCACTGCGGTCGTCCGGTCGAAAAGAAAAAATGGGGTGGGGGGTTTATTTTTTAGTAATAATTTTCTTTTGATCGCGATTTTTTATATAGAGAGAGAAAAATGTCACATGTTAGTCATTGTTCATGCTATGATTGGTTATGGGATATCTGGTCACTTTTGACCATATAATTTATTTTCACTCAAAATCTAACTCAACTCAACCTTCATCAATTTTATCGATATAATTAAATAATAGCAATCAATCATCACCACACATCGCATCAACTTTAATCCACTATTAATCAAATCACACACTCATATGTATATGTATATATATATATATATATATATATATATATATATATATATATACTAGTACCACGCCCGTGTATTACACGGGTGTTTGCTAATTTTTTTTTTTTAAATCTAAAATTAATGATTTATAAAAATATATATAATTATATATTTAGTATGACACTTTTTATTTGTGCAGCTTACATGTGTTATATTATAATAATTTTTTTAACTTACAACATATAACTACATTAAACAAAAATATATCATTTGAGAAATAATTTTATTTTTCTAATGAATTTTAATAAATATTATTATTTATTATTATTATTATAAAGATAAATATAAGTTATATATTTCATATATACAATATGGATGTCAAATTAAAGATCATCAAAAGATGACTAATTTGATATATTATATATGTAAAACGGATAAGAAATACAAAAGCTATCAACTTTCAAAATACATTTATAATTCAATAGCTAATTGAATGAAACAAATCAAAAGTCAGGGATATATGAGTCACTTAGTGCCTCACTATGTAAAATTACAAAGAAATAAAGGTGTAACACCCCACTTTGATTTTACAGAAATTTCGAATTTTCCAAAAACCAGAAT